ATATACATATATATATATACACATATATATATACATATTTAACTATTAAACTTGTATTCTCACAGAAAACATATTTGATTTTACATGAATACAAATAAAAATGTAAAATTTATGCACGGTTGTTGACTTGAATGTACAAATTTAGACTCTTACATAGGGTTGGGCATAATCGTATCGTGTGCGATTAATCGTCAGAAAAACATTAACCGATTATTTTTTTGGCACTTGACGATTAATACGATTAATGCCAGCAGGCAGACTGGCTGGATATTTCCTCGGTCAGTCCGCGAGGTGCTCCTCTCTTTTTCAAATATGACGAACATTAAAAAAAGTTCTGTAATTTATTTATCTATCGACACAATTTAAAATTTGATGTACAGCCTGAAGTCTGAGATTTTGACACAATATGGAACAGATTTTAACAAACAGCAAATCTTTTCTAAATTGGTTATATGACCAGGACATAAGGGTGTCCAGAGACTCCAGGGGATTAATTGTCAAATTAATCGTTATCGGCTAAATACTACAGTTTATCGTGATTAATTTTTTTGCCAATATTGTCCAACCCTAGTCTTACATGTAGGATTCTGTCTGACAGTTACCTGGTAAGAACCTGAACCTGACTGGGAGGCTGTGGTGGGACTGGGAGCTTCACCTGAATAAATAAAGCGCTCCAGTATCATGGATGCAGACTGAAACAGCCCCAGAAATAACAACTCTGCAGAATTATCGCTGCTAGAAGGAGCTGGACTTAGTTTTTCACAGTATTTTATAATTATGACTTTGCATTTTCTAACATCTTATAATTATGAGATGTAAAAATGGGTTTAGTTATTTTAAATCCAATGAAATATAGAAATGTGATAACTGTCCTCCCTCACATCCAGCTGCAGCTCCAGTTTATTAATGTCATCGCTGGCTTGGTTCAGATGCTCCAGCTCGTCCTGTGGAGCAGAACAAACACCATGTTCAGAACCAGCAGCACCGGGCTGGTACCAGAATCATCAAACTAACAACACCATATGAGAACTGATCTGTTGTTTGAAAACGTGCCTGGATCCTCGGGTCCAGCTCCTCCTCGCTTTCTTTCCGCCTCTCGGCTCCTCCAGCCTGCCCGCACTGCGCAGCCTTCTCCCCGGCTTCAGCAGCAGCAGCAGCCGGGCTGTCGTGGTGTCGGCACACCGCTGTGGGACATCCTGAGCGCGCCTGGGCTTCACGCGAGGTGCCAGGCTCCATCTGCAGCCCGTCGCTGGGTTTCAGTTCAGCGTTTAGCCTTCGAGTAAAATGTGAATATTTTCACCAGTGAAAAGCACCAGGAGGCTGGAGCTGTCGGTGAAGCAGCGTCCTGCAGCCTGGAGGCTCTGCCTCTGCTGCGTTTTTATTCATTCAACAGGAAAACATTGACATTTATAACATGAATATTAATCATTTGCTGCGTTCTTAATGTTACCAACTTTTAGAAATGTATTGAATTAGGGAGCACTGCAAAGAGAAGTACTTTTGTCCAATTCTGGGAGATAAAAATGGCGGACCGCGGGCCAATCCGGCCCACAGGTGACTTTAGTTCGGCCCACCTATAATGTGCTTCGGGCACATTTTATTTATTTTTTTGTTTGTTTGTTTGTTTGTTTCAGATTGTTTTGGTTTATAGTTTTTTTTAAAGAAGAGAAGAAAACCTCTGAAACATTGATTCATGCTGGACTTTACTGTTTGAATCATTAGCGCCTCTAGAGTTTGGGCATGGAACTGCACCTGCCATCATTCTTCTCAAGCAAAGGACAGATGAGTGACAGGACAGGGACACTTCAGGGGGCCGATCAGATTTATTTTTCTTCGTCACTTCAGTAGAAAACGAAACCAAATATTAGTTTATTTAGTTTATTTATTTCTTCATCATCAGTGACTTTTTTTAAAGTGAAGAGAAAATAGAGACAGAGAGAAAA